CAACCAAAAACAAAAAGCACTGGAAAGTAATGCGATATAAATACAAGAGACATAAATATCTCTATTAGATATATCTGCAAATTCATTAATTAATTAAAAGACTCTGGCCGTTTACTTAATTATAATCTTTACGTATTGTTATACACAAATTTGAATGCGATAAATCATTTATTTTTTTTATACTTAGTTATCCTACTTTGCTATCATGCAGTGATAATAGAAAATCAATAAATGCTGATTTGCACGAACAAATCGAGGAGAATGTTCAAATAGAAAAAAATAAAAACAAGTTTCTGAATAGTAGAATATTATTTGATACTATTTACAGCACTTTTTATTTATTTTCAAGTTTTTGAATGTTATGGTATTGTTGAATGTTATTTTTTCTATTTTTGAATTATTATTCACTGAATTAAATGTTCAAATTTATATTATAAGAATACTTTACATTACAACGCGCACATAGTAATATACTTAAGACAAGTTATAATAGATTATACATTAAATATGTATTTTATATCGACATTTTTATAAATTGACTAAAGTTTATTATTTTTCGACGATTCCCGTTCAACGAACGGGTACAAAACTAGTATATATAATAAAGTCGTATTTTCATACTTATCCCTTCATATTTTCTCTTTCCTACGTGGCTTAACTAGACGGCAAGTAGTTTCCTACGTGGCTTGCTCCTTTTTTTGTTTGGATATATATCAATTCTTATTTCCTATAAAAATTCTTAATATTATATGATTCTTATTTCCTACCCAAAAAAGGAACTGGAAAGTAATGCGATATAAATAAAAGAGACATAAATCTCCTCTATTAGATATATAGGAATAAATGATAATATATTTTTTTATAGTGTCCTATTCTTTTTTTTTTTAACAGGTTCATCATAAATCCTTTTTATTTTAAGATAATCTACCCATATATAGAACAACATACAAACAATCTAGACATGGAAATTAAAGAAAGTTAGCCCAAGAAAGTTTTTACAAAACTCACAGTCCCCATGTATAATTGATGTACAAAGAGAAATGGCACTTTATCTGATTGAAAAATTCTGGAAAAGTCCATAAAAAAAATGGAGTGTCATCAACCAAAGAAATAAAATCTCATTATCATAGCTAAAGAAAGATGAGATAAAACATTAGATATTTGTTGAAGTTTTGCACCCCGAAGGCCCCTACCCGAACCTCCGTCCGTAGTGTCCTCCAATCCAAGAGAAAGGCCTCCGTCTATAGTGTCCTCCGCCCGTCCTTTTTTTTAATATATTTTTGCTAATAATTCCTTAATCACAATATATCTCTACCCAGATGGTGGGAAGTATTCCGTGTGTGGACCCACATCATAGGAGTCCATGCACTTAAAGGACTCGATATAGTGGAAGTGGTCTTTTAAAGTCGGTAAAATCTATCTTGATAACGCATTTGTAAATTTATTACGTACAGGTTTATATACGTGCATAGTACGGGTCACATAAGATCTTATTTCCTACCCAAAGTTATTTGGACGATTATGATTTTATTTCCTATAAGAATTCTTAATATTATACGATTCTTATTTCCTACCCAAAGTTTCGTACTTTAAGCAACTTAAATTAAGATAAACATACTTTTAATGTTCTTATCAATATCTCTTTGTATTCTTATCAATTCTTATTTCCTATGTCTACACTACATATAGCCTATAATATATTTATTTCAAGCATCAAATTCATGGTTAGGTATTTCGAGTGCAAGCGGTTGGCATATTAAAGTATTGATTTTGGGTTTACACTTATCGTGATTATCAGGTACATCTTGTTTCATATATATATATATATATATATATATATATATATATATATATATATATATATATATATATATATATTAAAAAGGCATGTTGATTTTCAATTGTAAGAGCTTAGTAACATATCTTGAATTTTTTTTGTTTTATTTTCTATTTGTTTTGTATGAATACATAGGATTTAAACAAGTACTTTCATCGTTATTTTTGTAGGATTTTTTCTAACATGTTTGTTAATTGATTTTGGTGATCATATACTACGATGTTTGTTAATTTGCCTTCAGGAAAAACAACAAAAAACAAAAGGCACTAGAAAGTAATGCGATATAAATACAAGAGACATAAATATCTCTATTAGATATATCTGCAAATTCATTAGTTAATTAAAAGACTCTGGCCGTTTACTTAATTATAATCTTTACGTATTGTTATACACAAACTTGAATGTGATAAATCATTTATTTTTTTTTATACTTAGTTATCCTACTTTGCTATCATGCAATAATAATAGAAAATCAATAAATGCTGATTTGCACGGACAAATCGAGGAGAATGTTCAAACAGAAAAAAACAAAAACAAGTTTCTGAATAGTAGAATATTATTTGATACTATTTACTGCACTTTTTATTTATTTTCAAGTTTTTGAATGTTATGGTATTGTTGAATTTTATTTTTTCTATTTTTGAATTATTATTCACTGAATTAGATATTCAATTTTATATTATAAGAATACTTTAAATTACAATGCGCACATAGTATTATACTTAAGACAAGTTATAATAGATTATACATTAAATATGTATTTTATATCGATATTTTTATAAATTGACTAAAGTTTATTATTTTTCGACGATTCCCGTTCAACAAACGGGTACAAAACTAGTTCCCTATTAAATATAAAACTTTTCTAGTATTGTGTTTTGACCCTCTATTTTTTGAACAATCATATCCCAAACTTCTTTTATAATTACTCTATGCAACTTTAACTTTTGTATTTTTTGAAATATAAAGCTCAATTTTGTTGAAGAATTGCCGACTTAAAAAGTTATTTATTTTTTTATAATATAAGTGGGAGGGTGTGAATCCGGAACTCTTTATTTACACTTACTCCTTCTGAACCACTTAATCCATCCCTTCTCTCCCTCCCCCTAGTTAAAAAATTTTTAGACTCATTAATGTTGATTTGAGCTTTAAGTTCAAAAATTGGCCCTCAATTGTTTCAAAAAGTTATATTGTAGACCACAAACACTCTTCAAATGATATCCCTAGCCTATAATTGTGCAATTGTTTGAAAGAATTCTTCATATTAGTTATAAACTCACCAAAAATGTCATGTTAAGGAGTAATTTTATACATAATTTTTATTTTATAAATCATTAAAATATATTTATGACATCATTATGATGTCATCCGATTGGATCTCGAGTTAAACGAACTCATTAACCCAACAGAAAAAACTCAAAAATAGTTTGCTAAAAATGCTCTCTTAAATTCGCTTAGAATATTTTGAATTAAATTTAGGGTTTCCCAATCAACAATTGTTTCTTTTAGTTCTCAAATTTAGTTATCATTTCTAATCATCACTTTACTTTTTTTTTTAAAGCAATCATAAGCTCAATTTATTTATTTATTTTTTGTTCAAGCGGATATCAGTTAATCCATTCTTTAGTTATGACAAGTTCACGATCCTAAATCCTTGAGGTCACAAAGGCAGTGAAATAACAATTCCATTATTAGTGAAATCAGGAAGTTCTACAATCTTTACTTTTCTTAGTTCACATTCTAACACTTTACATTTATCAACAGCACAACACTCAGCGCTTTACAATTAATCTTTAAGTTGGATATACTCAATATTAGTTTTGATTCATAAGCTGCTAGAAAATAAATTGAGCAATGTCAAAATGAATTGCAATACAATAAAATTCAGTCACGAGAGCATAAATTTATTCGATCAAAGTTTAAAATTAATTTATGACTACGAGAAAATTACTTATAATTATACACACTGTACCCCAATTTGTATATAATCTACTAGCTATGTATGCAAAAAAAAAATGTTTATTTTACCAAAAATTAATCAATCAACGCAATTAAATTAGAAATCTATCATGTAATAATTATGAGTACCATTTCTTAGAAATTTATTCTTCCAAATTGATTTACAAGATAAGAAAACTCGGGTACTTTCAAACTATTCAATTACCGACCTAAATTAATTCATGGCTACGAGGAAAGCGCTCGTAGCTCTTGAAAAAGCACTGGACTATATGAGCAAACCATTATATAAATAGTTTGCGTACGTGCCATGCATCAAATCTATGTATATAAATATTTTATAATTATTATATTACTTAAAAACCTTTATTATTATAAAAAATTATATGTTTTATCACTCGAGTTCGAGCTTGATCTCAAATTTCTTCTCGAGAGAGGTCGAGCACCTTATATGTATTTTATACAAGCCGAGATCAAACTTCAAAGTTAAACGTTTGTTGAGATCGAGCTTAGGAAATGTATTTCGAACTCGAACATGAATACTTTTGACTTTGTTCATTGTTACTTCTAATTGTCAAAGTTTGATCCACTTAAAGCTCATGTATATGTAAAGCCCAATGTGGGCACTTTTTTTTTTAATATATAAATGTGAGGCACTTATTAATGCAGCTTCGGGGTCCACATTGGGTTAATTCAAATTAAATCTGAATATTTACTACGTCTAGTCTAACGGGTTAGTCTATTCCGATAAAACTACAATTACCACATCTAATCACATACACCTTGGTTTTTATTTTTCAACATGGCTTAAATATTATGAAATTATCTTCATCCACTAATCTTAATTGTGGGGATTTAGTAGAGTTGAGTTTAAGATTCTGTTTGATAATTCAATTCAGCATCTAAACTTAAAGGACTCAAATTTTAATATGTTTAGACGCGTTTGATAACTAAAAAGCGAACATCTGAATTAATCAAATGATACTGAATTTTTTAGGCAAAATTTGCTCCAAAATTTGCTCCAACTACTAATATGTTTAGTAAGCAAGTTGAACTCGAGCCAGATGAGATTAAGCTCGCTCGACGAGCCACATGAAATTTTTGCTCGACGAGCCACATGAAATTACAAAAATACCCCTATTTGTATAACTAATTACTAGTTGGAACTTGGAATTCAAGCGTCAGAGGGCTGAGGTTCAGAGTCTTCAGACTTCAGAGCAAAAGTTGTTTCCCCAAATTGTGAATTGCATTTCTAATTGCTTCTCCCGCTGTCCCGCATCTCTCTTTCGTCTTTCCTTCACAATTTCTCAAACAAACCCTAGCCACCGCCGCCACGAGTGCACCGCAGCCACCACCGCCACCGCCACCGCCACCCTTCAGCCACCGCCACCACAGCCACCACCGCCACGTTGTAAAGTTAATCGTCTGCAATTGTCTGCAATTACTGTTGATATTTGCAATTTGATATATCTTTTTCCTTTCCAGCTCTGTTTCTATGTGTACCTCTCAAATGCTTGCTAACATCTGCTTGTTAACTTAATGTGTCCTCGTTCAACTCATCATGTTGTGCATCCTTTTTTTCCCTATTTTCTGTAATGACTTGCTATGTCACTGCACATGTTTATTTGCCAATAGAAAGAAATAATCCAAGCGTACACTATCTTCTCCTTTCCCAGATATTACAACTGCAGCAATTCAGTTCATAAATTAGACTAGGATGATATTATACATAAGAATTTAACTGGAATTAGACAATATGGAAATATAGAATTAACATCGAATAGTGGAGCAGCAACGATGAGATGATGAGAGTATACAAGTGTCAACAATGCTGCAGCAATCTTTCCAAATGCTTGACATCCTAATAGTAGCCTCATATCCAGCCTTGAGATTATAATAACACTTGCTATCAATGTCCGTAAGCATCATTTCAGAGGTGTCCATCTGACTTTGAGGATCAGTTTTTCAATTTTTTAACTACTAACATAGTTTTTGGCTAGATTTCTTTTTCTGAGAAGTTTCCAATGAATATAGATACTTTGTTTTCTCTCTAAACATAGAAATAGACCAAAAAACAACAGGTTCCCTAGTATATTTTTCGAGTTTGTTGCATGGTTTCTTTGCCTTGGTTGTTAAAACTAAAAGTTATGCGTGCTTATGTACATTGAAATCATGTACTTTACTTTTCTTTAGTTAGAAAATGTGTGCTGTGTTCTCTTGATATCCGTCTTCTTTTCAGTCTGATGGCGGGCCAAAAAATTGTAGTAACTCAAATTGATCATCACTTCTCATACCAGTAGTAGCAACAAATTGGTCCTATAATTAATTTCTGAGGGGTGTAAGTGTGGAATTAAAAGTTCTTGGCGGAAACCTAATTTGGAAATTGAAGTGTGCATGGTTTTTTTAGCTTCAATTGTTAGCTTTTCGAGCCGTGTCCATCTCATTTCTTGTCAAGATGATGATGATATCAGTTAATTTGTACCTAGTTTTTACTCGTTTATATTTCTATGGACCAGAAGAATTGGTAGATTGCAGTGAGCATTTAGTTGACAACAAGGATACTAGTTTATTAGATAAATCAAGTATATTTTAATTTGGCTGCTTGTTTGAACAGAATGAATCTTGAATTGTGTTGCCATTGGAGATTTGGTATCCTGAGTTTCATAAATAGGTTATCCAGTTGGTCATTCTGCAAACTTTGCTATCTCTTCAGCCTCTTTTTTTTTTTTTGCAATTTTCTAGGTCAGTCGATTGTAAGTGTCAGAAAGCAGGGATGGACAGTCACAAGGTTGAAGATAAAGAGGTGAATTTCTCTCCTACATGCTTAATCAAGACTAGTGACATGATAATGAGGTTCCTCAATTTCAGAGGAATCGCTTGCTATTGCACTCTGATGATCTATCTGTCAAGTATTTTGCAAAAGTGCAAAATGGATTTTGACATTACTTTTCTGCAACTGCCTTACAGTTCTCTATCATGAGGAAGATCTCAACTCTTCTTTTTTACTTCTTTTGCATTCTAATTTTATTTTACTTCTGCGTCCATGCTTGGTTGTCATCTATCATGTTTCTAGTCATTTACATGGTCTAGACAAGCTTGTAACAATCTTGGCACGCTTAAGGATTGTCAAAAAGTTTGTCCACTCCTAGGGCTTTGTATTGAAGGCTTGTGACTTTATTTTTTAGCTATTTTTGTCATTTCCTACAGTCCTAGATTAGTTTTACTTCCAAAAATTTTCCATGTGCAAGTTTTCCTGGATATTAATGTTCTGGAAGGTTTGGGAAGCTCTTTCCAATCTTGAGCTCTTTTCTGGGAAATATGTGAAACCCGGAGATCCTGATGAGACAAGTTTGCCACCAGAACAGTCCAACTTTACTCCATCAGTTTCCAAACTTCTTTCATTTACACAGGCAGATATTGTATTACCTTCCTCTTTGTTATCCACACACATATGGAATCACTAGAAAATGCTAACACACAGCCTCCTCATATTAACACAGCTAGAATTTCGTCCAGAAGATTCAAGTCACTTCGAAAAGTATGGAGTTTCAGCAGCATCTGTGGAAGCAGAACCTTGTGTCGTGGATATTAAAAGTTCAAACAATAAAAGATGGAGTAGCCACAACTTTCCATGGGCAAAGGGGCTAGAGGTGGGCAAACCTATATATTCTTGCTTCTGAAATATGAGCCATGCACTTAATTGCATCTGATGTCAGGAATTCAGCGGAAGATTATTTGGCAATTTTTCTTTGGAACCGGAGCAAAGAGAAGTGATCAATGCAACTATGAGTGGACGCGATGTTTTTGCAGATGTGTCAGCTATAGACGGACGTGAAGTGACATATCAGGTAAAAGAATTTATTCTGTTTTAACCCACTCGTTTTTGTTACTAATATTATACTGGCATAAAACCAGGAGTTGGGATTGATAATATCCGGCTAAGCTGACTTAGTGCGTCAGAATAAGTTCACCAATCCAATTCTCCATTTCAGTTATATGGGCATATTTTCAAGTGTTTTCATTCCTGTGTTCAATAAATTTTTTGGACTGACCCTTATTGTACCTAATTTTGTATACTAAATTTTATGTATTTAGATTTAACACTAACCTAAGATGTTTTCCTTTGAAAGACTAATATATTTCCTGACCACATAATTTGTTGTTGAAGTTGTACTACTGTTTATGGGATTGCGAAGAAACAATAAACATTCCTGGTTGTCTTTTGTGTCATTTGGAACTAGTGATGTGTTCTTTAAACTCTGATTAGACAAGTAATTCTGCTTTCTGTCAGGTCCCTGCTCTTTTATGTCCTGGGATGACTTTGGTTGTTGTCCCACCTCTTCTCATAGCCAACATTAAAGTTAAGAATCCACCATTGGTATGTCTGTCAAATATTAATCTTTCTGTCTTTTCTCTATATTATGGCACTCTACCTAATATCTTCATTGAAAATTCTTATTACTCATAGGGAAGAAAATCTATGGGTCTATCTGGCTTAATGGAGCTGACTGAACAACAGAGGATTCTGGGGGAGCTTGTGAAAGAAAGTAGTGAATGCAAGCTGCTATATGTCACCGCTGGCACAATTACCAAGTGTGTAGTCATATATTTCTTTTTGACTGTGTGCTTTACTAGATGCATTCACTCTGAAATTGGGAAAACAGATGGAAGTTGGAAAGGAAATTATCCTACAACCACTTTGTTGTCTTGAGTTTGTATTTTAAGTTGGATAATTTTTTAGGAAGTACTACTATGAGCTGTTTGTCTTATTGACCTCAATGCTGTTGGAAAGACAACTTAATAGTTTGTGAACTGTGTACCTTCACCTTTCTGCAAATAGATCTGTTCATTCTGGAGTTTGGGAAAAAGTCAGAAAGTTGGTTTGCCAACATTTTTAAATGCTGTATGCTGTATGGTTTTCCTTTTCTAACCATATGTTTCTTTTCGAATGCAATTAACTTGCTACTAGACAAGTAATGTATTAATCTGAGGAATGAGTTCCCTCACAGGAGATGCTGCACTAATTTTCCACGAGGAAAGATCTAAAGCACCATGAAGCAAATGTTGGAGACCTCTTATTATGTCTTGCAAAACCTATTTCTCTAACTCTCTGATAAAAAATCAATCCAAGCACAAAAGATCAGTTCCCTCCTATTCTTCCCGTTCCTTTCCCTCCCATATCAATAATTCATGTTTGAGGCTTTTAGAGTCTTTGATTACAGGAATCCTTATTGGCCGTATTTCCTTTTGTTCGTTAGGAATGATAATTTAACCTGCTAGACAAATTAATTATACTGTGAAGCCGGCATAATCAAAGTGACGGCCTTTCCTTTTTCTATTGATCCATTTGTATTATGATCAATAAAAGCTTTGCAAAAAATCTTTTTTCTGATAGCGATATTATTGCATATTGAGTGACCAACCTTAAGGTTTGCTTGTGAAGTAGGGTCTTATTATGTCGTGGAGTTGGTGATTTTTTTATACAAGTTTCTTTTACCTCCTGGAGCCCTTTGTTATGATTACGGTACTACTATTGGACATTAAGGGAAGTTCCTACTGACTAGATATTCAGGTTGAGCGTGCCGAGGAGTAGAGTAGGCGAAGGTTGCCGCTATCATCTCACTGGAGTCCAGCCACTACAGCGGAAATCATCACTGTAAAGTTTCCCACACTCTTGTACCTTTTTCCCCCCTTAATTGTATTGTTTTCTTCTTTGTCTGCAATCATGTCGGTTATGCTTTACTTTCATCTTGTTAGTCGATTTTAAGTGGTTGGAATTGATCATAGGTTTGAGTAGAGCTTTAGATTTAAAATTCAAGCTCAGGCCGTATAAGGAATTGATGAAAAAGAAATTTCAAAATTTTTCATGCTCACTACCTATTTGTCGGAAGGTTCGAATGAAAAAAGAAGAAAATTTGCAAGGAAGCGAATAGAGGGATGAGAAAGTAAAGACAAGGAAAGAGCGTAATTCTTCTTGAAGAAAACAGGGACACGAATCAAATTCCTTGGAACCAATGCCCAATTGTGAGGGAAAGGTATGCAGCAATTATACGTATATAGTACCCAATTGTAAAGGTTCAGAAGCAATGAGCCCATCACTTTCATATGCCTCCAAATACCCTTATTCCTTATTATAGTGGATGGATCATGGATGACAATTTGATAATGCCGTGCAACCTTCAACTTTTTCGAGGGAATTATTTTTTTTTTGTTCAGATTTTTTCTATTGAGAAATTTATCACTTGTATTTTTCCCTTTTACTAAGCAAGCAACTCATTACTCGTGCTAAAGAAATTATTATTGTGATGTTGTAAGCTCCTATCTAACTTAACTACGAAATATTTTTATCCAAACACAATCAAGTAGTCTTTCAGTTTAATAGCAGACTTTATTTCCTCTAAATCTTGCAGTAGAAAAAAATAACATCTACGTGGGGGCAGTATGCTCTGCTTGCTTGTCATCATATACCCAAGTAATTATGTTACTCAGTACATTGCTTAAGAAACCGTATTGAAATGTAAAAACTTCATTGTCACTTAATTGGTGTACATTTTCTGTAACTATGATAATACTTTGTGCTGAAAGATAAATTTTGTGTGTTTGCTGATTTGTTTCTCTTGTTACCTTTGTCTCCAACTCCTTGCTTTCAAGCAGTAGATTTCTTCCTTTCCCTTCCTCTGCTCTTCCCTTGAACTAAACCTTGCATTAGAACGCAGCTTACCAATCTCTCGGTGCTTGCAAGTTGCCAAAGAATATTGTGAGCAATTGGGTGTTGAACCTTGTATAAAACTTTTTGAGCAATTCAAATCATATGAAGGATTGTACTTCTTCTTGGGGTCTTATCTGAGCTCAAGGTGAGATATGTTGGAAATGAAGTGACTCTTCTTCGTTTTTGACTTGGCCATTTTCTCTGCCTTTAGTCTGTTGCCTTCATATTTTAAACTCTGGTTGTTGCAGTGAGGACCCTGACATCCATTTTAAGTATATTGAAGCAGCTGCAAAGACAGGGCAGATCAAGGAGGTTGAGCGTGTTACAAGGGAATCAAATTTCTATGACCCAGAGAAGACTAAAAATTTCTTGATGGAAGCCAAGCTTCCGGATGCTAGACCCCTAATAAATGTGTGCGATCGATTTGGTTTTGTTCCAGATCTTACACACTACCTGTATACAAACAACATGCTCCGGTATATTGAAGGATATGTGCAGAAGGTCAGTTGCTTTTGAGAACCTACAATTTTTGGTAAATGGTGCATACCCTCTGAAGCTGAATTCCTTTTTTTCATGTGTACATAGGTCAATCCTGGAAATGCTCCACTAGTTGTGGGGCAGCTGCTAGACGATGAATGTCCCGAAGATTTTATTAAAGGCTTGATTCTCTCTGTCCGTTCGCTTCTTCCTGTTGAGCCTCTCGTGGACGAGTGTGAGAAAAGGTGCTTTTTCGTTGCTAAAACAACCTTTACTTAGCATGTCGGTGGACTTATTAACTGTGAACTTCTGATTGCAGGAACCGGCTTCGGTTACTTGCCCAATTTTTGGAGCATCTTGTGAGCGAAGGAAGCCAGGATGTGCATGTGCACAATGCACTTGGAAAGATCATTATAGACAGTAATAATAACCCTGAGCACTTTCTCACTACCAACCCATATTATGATTCACGTGTCGTGGGCAAATACTGTGAGAAGCGTGATCCTACCCTTGCTGTTGTTGCCTATCGGAGAGGGCAGTGTGATGATGAACTCATCAATGTAACAAATAAGAACTCCCTGTTTAAGTTGCAGGCCAGGTTGGTTGGTTTTCTGTGCTTAATTTTGTGCTGAAAGATAATACGTTGCATTAGTGTGAGATTGGTCTGTGAGTTTATGCATTTTATAGAGTGTTTCATCTCAGCCCAATGCTCGTTTGCAGCTGCTGTCGATTAGACCAAGTTGTGTTAAACTTCTCAGATTGTAGTGATAAACTTTTTGATTGTCAGGCTCCAGGAATGGTTTCAATGATGAGGGAACTCCAAAATCCGCTGCTAGGAAGTCACCATCTTGGAATTGATGATACCAAAAATATTGCAAGAGTGGTACAACACATGCTTATAGATGGTGCTCTTTTGCAAATTACTGCAAGGAGATTACGTGGTTCTCTTGAAAAAGTTGAGTTTCTATTTGAAAATGGTATCTAGTTGTCACTCTACATCTCTTTACATTCACCTTGTTATGATCGTCATTTCGGACTAATTTCTTTGTGCTAATTGCATATATATTCTTCATGAACTTTTCTTCTCCAACTTGAGAAATGGTCCATCAGTTTCTCAGAAAGTCGAAAGCCCTCCCAAAACTATATGCTTTGATTTTTTCTGAATTTTTATTTGGGGATGTTTAAAAATGAAAGGTAAGAGAATTTGAATGGGGAAGAATACAATTTACAGGGCAAATTTATGCAATAATTTTACGTGTAACATTTAAATGATGTTTTAGGAGAATTAACTTTGTTATAGTCAGCAAATTGCTAGATTTCTCCAAATACAAAAATTTACAGTATTTGATATGTTTACTTACGATATAGTCTAGATGTGCCTCGGTGCTTCCTCCAAAGTTGCATGTTTAGACCAATTTGCTTCTGCTTTATGATTGAAGTGGACATTTCTTTGCATTTAGAAGCTACATTGCTTTAGATGCATCTCAGTATGCTGCGCGTTGACTAACTTGTCGCATTCACTGTTTGGATAGGTGGGAGTATATTGGCGTCACTTGGTTCCTTTCAGCAAATGTGGTTTTCAAAATCTAAGTAAGCTTTTACATCCACTCTACCTTTCAATATTCAACTTTTCTCCTTTTTTTCTCCCCATTTTCAGTCTATTTTATCTCTCGATTAACAGGTTTGAGGAACATGGAGCTTCTAATGTTCAAAGAAAATGCCCGTAAAGTACATTACTGGTGCAGACAATTATCACATTAGACAAAAATTCATGGAGCTGACTTCACTTTTGATTAGTTCACTGACGGTATGGGTTGCTCGGTTTTAATATCCTGCTTTATAGGCGCCCAAACAATGTACTATATATATTGTACCTCTCGCGAATCGTTGCTAATGTTGTACAATTACGTTACCTGACTTTTAGTTCAACAAATTATACTTGTTAGGGAATCTTTCAAGTTTGTACTTGTTACTGACTTTTAGTTTAACAAATTATATTTGAGCATTGACTTTTGCTTTTAGATTACTATATGCATTCTGTTCTTTGGGATAATTTTACAAGTCCTTTGGATTTTTTGATTGACGGAATGTATAGCAGGGACTGGGAGCACTACCCGCAGGTTGCTTCTATATAAAAAAAAAAAAAAAAAAAACTCCTGACAGTTAAAAGTGTCAGCATAGCTCCGTTAAAAAAACTCCTACTTATTACTAACTATAACTATCCTGACACTTTCGATTATCAAGAAAACGAATTTTCGTTGGCAGATGAGATGTTATAACAGTATAGTTTTCCTGACACATTTGAATACTACATACCTATCCCTACATTGGAAGGGACGACACTCGTCCGAGGTGTGAGGAAAGGTAAAGTGTCATGTTAGATTATGTATACGGACACCTCTAAATGCCGTTAAAGGTCATTTTTGTTGTAGTGGTAATACGCAGGGTTCTTCTGTCCAAAGACCTTTTAAAGGATGAAAGGACAATTCTGAAGATCAATTGGACAGATACACAGGTTGGCATCGATATATCCCAGAGATGGAGTAAATGATCCATTGACCTTTCATGGAAAGCTTCAATCAGCGGTAATATCTCCAAAAGAAGCTGTGTATTTCCTTCTGAATTCCACTACTAATTAGTCTACTGTCCAAGACTTCCATGAAAAATATGTCATCCGAAATTTTGAATTCAATAGTTCCAAAAGATAATAAGATAGAATTTTGATTTATATATTGCTTTGAACCTTTATGCAATCTTTGTTTGCGTGAGCCTGCAAGTTTATTTGAAATACTTCTTCTACATTTGATTTGCATGGATATTTTATCCTCATAGTTACATTGGATCAATGGTGATATGTTTTAGGCTGAGCAAGAGCACATAGAAGGATCGATAAAAGCTCTACTGAACGCGGCGAGGGAGACATTCAATTTTGGTGTAAGTCTTGAATCATGAGCTGCAGTTTTATTCTGAGCAAATTATTCGGATAGCCGCTGAACTTTTGCAATCGTCAAGTTTTGGTCACTAAACTCTTAAAAGTTTGGTGTTTTGGTATTGAACTATCTAAAATTTAGATTTCAGGTCATTTAGTCGTTGACTATAGCTTTTTCTTTTGTCTCGTGAATCATGCGAGCACTCAAATCTGTCATGTTTAATAATTGAATCAACGGAATGACCTGAAATCTAAACTTTAAATAGTTCAGTAATCGAAACGAGACTTTTAATAGTTCAATAGTCAAAACTCAACCATTCCAAAAGTTTGGTTACCATCCAGATAATTTGCTCGTTTTTATTCTTGATTTTCATAGGTTTTAATAATATTCTCGTAATTTGTACACAGGAAATTCCTATAATGGCGGGACACATAGTTTACCCAAAGTTTGAACACGAGTATGAACCAATTAAGGAAATAGGTACTTCTACTTAAATCTTTTGTAAGTTTTAAATGGACTTTTGTATTTTTCTAATTTTAGCAACAATTAAATGCAGGAAGCGGTAGCTTTGGAGTCGTGTTTGAATGCAAGGTCAAACTTGATGACACGTATTGTGCTGTTAAGCTTATACGTTTTCCCGCATCAGAAGATGAAGAAGAAGTTCAACGTACCGAATCAAGAAAAAAAGTTCAACGTGTGATTAATGAAGTCAAAATGCTCAGTCTTGCACAACATCCAAATGTTGTGCGCTATTCTCAGGTTATTTAATTTTTTTCACGACAAATACCAAATAATATCCAACCTTATGTAATTTTCTCTTAAAATGCATTGTTTGCTGCTTTACTTTTTGTTGTCATTCTCATTGTAAATAAGTAGTTAAGAAAATTGTATATTTGTGATCTGCTGTGGTTTCAAAAAATGGGTTGGCCATTAAATATGCTATTTTAACCTTTTTAAGTTTTATATTGCAGTAGGGGCGCAAATGAGCCTAATCAAAATGAACACCTTAATGTTTAAGTTTGTTTGATTATTTTAACGAGTTTAAAATTTTGTTTAAGTTTGACTTGTTTATTTGTCGAACCAAGGTTGAACGAGTTTTTTTATCGAATTCAAAAGTTATCGAACATAAAACGCTATTCAAGTTTGGTGTGGCTAGTTGGCGAACCAAGTTCGAACAAGTTCTTACTGAACCGAGCTCAATTTAAATATTAAGTAGCTCGGTTCTTTTTTTTATTACTATTTTTGTCCTGTACATGCTTTAAAAAATTGTTTATGCTACATATTTTTAGTTAAGTTCTTTTTACTTTTAAAAAAAATGGCAATCTAAACTAAGAATTTGTTTTTGAAGGCATGGATTGAAGATTACAGAGAACAAAATCGGGTCAGAGGTTAATACTCTGGTTCCGCTTCATATGGCCCGAGGGAGAGGATGATGTATATTCATATGGAACTTTGTAAGGGGTATGTTCTCATTCTTACTGATTCTCAGGTTTTATTTTATTTTTCACTATGAGTTGATCTTGCATGATAAATACGCACAAAGTGGAAATTAAGCTTTAAATAATGTATAGGTCATTGAAGTCTAAATTAACGGAGGAGGAGGAGCTACGTACGGATATGGCATGGAGTTACTTTCGGCAGATTTTGGAGGCTTTACAGTTCATACACGGCAAAGATATTATTCATCGGGACTTGAAGCCGGATAATATTTTCATAGACAACAGTGGAACAGTGAAAATTGGGGACTTTGGATTAGGTTCATTTAAGTAAATTTGGTGCTTTACAAAATTGTACCTGGGTAATGAGTTGGTTGACTAACCAATTTTTCCTGTTCACAGCTCTGCGTGAGGTTGTCAGATCGACCACAAAGGATGTCAGTTCGACCACATCCTCGACCACGAAGGATGTCAGTTCGACCACAAATTCGTCACCAGTTGGTACGTATCTCTACCGTGCACCTGAAATGAAAGAGAGGGACCCCAACAAGCCCACCAACAAGCCCACCAACAAGGTGGACATGTATGCCTTGGGGTTGATTGTATTCCAGCTGTTTTGTCCCCGGAGATGTTCTGAGCTCGAACTGTTGAAACTAACAGAATCGCCCGGGCAAGTTTGCGAAAAGTATAAGGTGGATGAAACTGCCAAGCCCCTGATCTTGAAGCTACTTCGGACAGATCCATTGAAACGGCCTTCTGCTGCTGATCTTCTACAGCATTTAGATACATTGGAGGTAGATATTCTTGATAGTTGTATCTCAATATGAAGGATGTGGAACTCTCAATTTTTATGTGTTCTACTTTGCTAGTATGCTAGTGCATCATAATCTATTGCCTTAATTCAGAAGTATTAGTATTTATAGAGAAACTATGTATGTTGATTTCATTTGTATCCTTTCCAGGGGAAAAAACAAGAAGCACAACTACAGAAACTTTCATAGCATTTTGAAACTGACATTTAGCAACTGCGATGGGCCATGCAGTTGGCTGTGCCTGAAACTGGGGAAAACCCTACGAAATGGATGCTGTTTATCACTGTTTGACACTTGCAGAAACTTGCAAAGTTGTGCACATGGTGCCATGTCACCTAGACTCCTTTTTGATATTGTATAATGAATTTGTTTCTGCAACAATGCTATTTTGAAGTGTGCCAAAGGCATTAGGCCATTTCTGTTACTGAAAAGAGTTTCAGCAACTTCCTCCTAATCCTTGTCTGTGTGAAAAATGCTGAGAAATTCTTTCCATGTCTTGTGTTATTAACTGGGCATTCAAGAAGTTAAAGTCTGCTTTCCTTCATTGATAACTTTTGTGTTTATTCTTTACTCTTTTTATTTCATTCTACCACTTACATCTCTGAGTGTTTGCCTCTTCATTGCTGTCGCTGGCATTGGTTTGTAGTTATTTTTTCATTTGTTTCAACTATTAACTTGCAATTGTGGCTCTGATGACACAAGAGAAAAGGAGCCTTATACTTTGATAAAATTGGTCAGGCTGCAGACACGAGGGTCCAAAATATTCCCATAGAGAATACGTCGTCGGATCACAGGCCTCACAAGTTGGAAAACTGTCCGATTCATATAATTATTAATACGTTTAGTTATTGCATAATCTTGAATTTCATGTAAATTTAATTATATGAGTTGACAAATTCAAGATTACGCCCGATTTATATGATTTTACACCATTTGAATGTGTCATCCTGCAGAGTGAAGCACCTTAATTACGTTTACATACTGTATTAGGAAACAGCAAATGCCCTGAACGTGATTTTTCATGGAATTATTGAAAATTTTAATAGGTTTTAAAAAATTGAGACCACGTTTCATCCATTGTTAAGTCTAACCATTAGCAATCTTGTGTAGAACTTTACACTTGGATTGCCCTTCAAAATTGTCATTAACTTTTTATTTTTGTCTCTTTAAATTTTATTTTTTGTATTATAATCTGTATTCAGATTCCAACTCATGTGCTATGTTGTGTATCTATATATGAAATACCTAAAACCATTCTAATTAGGCCAAGGATGTCAATGAGAAAATGCAATTAATTTCTCTAGTTCCTTTTTAGGACAATTGCTGCAACTCTTTCAAAATAAAGCTGAATTCTTTTCCATTGATAAGAATTAATCTAGCAACCATTGCATAAGTTCAATTTGAGCCATTTTGATCTCCTTGTAATAACAACAAAGAATTTGAAGGTTTGAATTGTTAATAGGAAAGTTTATTTCTTTCTGTCCTTGTACTTTATACTAGAGGTGGCAATTGAGCTGAAACTCCAATGAACTACCCATGCTCAAAGGAATTTTGGGCAAGACGGGATCCCCTAGATTTGATATTGGGTCTTAAATGGCATTAATCCCATAAATACCTAACAAATAATGATAATATACTTGGGTATTACTTAGAAACCATTAGGGCGCAATACATATTACAACTACCTTGGATAAAAATTTAGTCCAAAATTTACAAAAAAACTAAAATTAGGGGATTTTTACGTAAATAACTCAATATTAATTAGTCTAAAATTTTAAAATAGAAATTTTACATTAATTTTTTTGTGACAAACAATTTCTTACTAAAAAAATTGTAATATGACTTATTTATACTTGTTTCTAACTCTATGTAAAGCAAATGCATTGTTGTCAAGTACATGTAACTATTGTATTATTCAAGTGCTAACTAGTTTATATTGAAGAACTAACATTGTACTATCAACTAATTTTAAAAAAAGGCTTGAATTGTAAATCATCATATACAAGAATTTAGCTACAATGATTTACAACGTAGTATTTAGAGGGTGCAAAATGTTATCTATTTCATAAACTATTTCTCTTTGGCTAGATACACAAGGTTAAATAAGAGAGAAAAGAGGGGGGGGGGGGGAATTACATGCAAGTATGCAACGTAACTTCTTAGACAAAGCCGTACATTTTTTTGGACCTTTACTCAACTTCATACTTCTTGGACATTTATATTGCCTTGCACATGAAACTTTTAGGCAAACACAGATATAATTTAAAATTGGGTAAAATGTGACAAATTGCAAGGCTACATTTAGAAAACCGAATCATCTCCTATTACTTATTACATGATCATTTAAAGCACCAACTCATGATTTTTACTTGTTCTGCAGTGAAGTTCTGAGAATCACGCCTTCACTCCAAAATCTAGGGGATTTCTTTATTGAAACTGTAATTTTCTCCTCCTCTGCTCCAAGCTCTTGTATTGTTCTCTACAGAAAAGAGGAAAAAAAAAAAAAAAAGAAGATGGTTCTACCACATAGAAGCAAGAATCCTTTTGTAGATAGCATTTCTTCTAACAAAGAACCGAGCGCCTTTGGAATTCTTTCATACAATTTCGCGCCTTTGCTACACGTACGGCAGAAAAGTGGCGTCAATCCTATTCCCGACTTTTTGCTATTACATGCTAACGGTTTTCTCTGTTTATTGTTTTTTAGCAGTTAAATAATTGCTACAGAAATAAGGGTATTGTTGACAGTTGATCCCCGCCGGTGCCGGTGGTGATATATGGTCCCACAATCACTCCGGGAAAGTTAAGCGAGATTTTGAAAATGCTAGGAGAATGAAGTGATATATTATGAAATCTAAGGAGAGGTTTTTGAAATTATCCCTTTTTAATTTTGTTAAAGTTGATTCTATCACATTGACTCTCAAGAACAAGAATTTTCGAAATAAATAATGTGTTTCTTTTGGCGATTGACAAAAAAAAAATGAATGTAACGGGTGTTCTCGAAAAAGAAACAAAAGGTTGCAAAAGTTAATTTTGAGCAACTAATGATCAAATAATTTGCATAAATGAGCTTTGGGTATTTTAGTTAATGACCCTAACACTTTGTGGGGGATTTATTTCAGCATGGAAAATAGTAGCATACAATGAAAATAGTAGCGCAAATTCTACAAAATATTTTGTTCAAAAATTACGATTAAAAATTTGGCACAAAAACATGAGTGTTTGGTGTGTTTTGGATAAATTGAAAAAAAAATAAAATATTAGGGAGTAAACTGCAAAACACACCAACTGGAAAACACATCAAATAGAACTATTAATGGGATCAGGTCAGTCCGATCTCGATCGGATAAAAAGACCAATAAACCTAACCTTTTATTGGATTGGGCTGAGTTTGAATCTAAATATTAGATTCAAATTAAATGTGAGTCGAGTCGGAGGTTTTTAACCCAAAATCCTATATAGGCGCAACCCACTAATCTGAATATATATATATATGTGTGTGTGTTTGTGTGTGTTTATATATGTATATGTGGGTGTATGTATATATGAATAATTCAATACGTAATACATTTATACTTTGGTATATACAATTATATATCCAAACAAATACATAATTACTAAATACTAATACTTGTATGTCAAAATATATCAATATATATTAGAAATATTAAATATAAAAGCTGGATTTTGATAAACTTATACAATGTACAAGTCCTTAAGATTTGTCTTTCAAAAAAAAAAAAGATTGTCTTTCATGAGTTAGTTTTTTTTATCTTATTAATAATATATCATTATATAATTGATGATAAGTTGGTTTGTTACGCTATTCTATGATACAATTGGTGATCGGCTGGCTTCTATCTTATAATAATTTGACACACACAAAGGTTGTTGAAAAATTCTTGGTTCATGTACTTTTTAATGAACTGTTACTGGTTCATGTATAATTTTAATATTTTTTATATCAAATTAGGTTTACAACCTAGTAATTATAGTAATTATATTAAGGAAATTAAAGATTAATAAGCGAGTTTGGACTAATCCCGAATTAGGCTCAAAACCCTAATGTTTTGTAAGCCAAATATGAGTTTCACATTTATTAACCCGAATCTCATAGTCCAAAACCTGAAAGTATTACTAATTAGATGAGTCGAACATAAACTTATTAAAATCTAGTTCAAATAACCCGATTGACAGGCCTAACACCAAACCTTAGGGAACTTCTTGTCATTAGACCTTCGTTTTATTCACCAGATTTTTTTTTTTTTCTTTTGAAGCAACAAACAATAAGCATTTTTGTTCCTTCGTATCCTCAAAAGCATGGAGCGTTTTATTCACTGGAGTAACTAACTACTTAATTGCTAACTGGAGCTTAAATGCCATCGTTTCACTAACAATCATTCACTTTAACAAAAACTACGTCGTTCACCAGATTAACTAACCGCTTAATTGCTAATTGTAGCTTAAACGCCACTGTACCACTACCGATCCTTCTAATTGTCAAAAACTACATCGTTCCTACGCACCAATGCTTTTATTCTTAACAACATTTTAACCTTTGTCCTAACCAAACATATCGCTATCAGGGTAAATACCGGCCGAAATCTACCACAGTAGCGCGCGTTTCGTCTAGACTGCGCCCTAAGGGGCTAACACATATCCTCTTGAGAGATGAAATCTTAGTGAAAGCTAATTACAAAGTACAATAGCCTTGGCATATCCTTATTTGGTTAGTCAATATATTCATCCGATATCCTAATTCTTCTTAGTTACCAATAGTCTTGGCTTTACTTTCTATTTTCTTGAAAAGATGAATATTAATGGAAATCTCTTTTTCTTTGGACTTTATGAATCCTTAAATTGTTATGTTTTGCACGTTTACATTATTGTATTTGATTTTAGTCACCTTAAATTTGTGGATATTGTGAAGCATTGCCAAACAGAAATTGAATTTTGTTTTAGATTAAAAATTGTAAAGTAACTTTTTCTCAGTCTATTGGATAAATTGCAGATACTCCCCTAAACCTATGAGGCCTAATATTTTGAAAGGAAGGTTTGGAAAATGCAAATTAAAAAAATTAAAATTTTATAAGAAGGGCCTAACTTTTGATTAATCTGTGAATCGGGACTATATCACTATTCATGGATTGAACATTTAGTATATGTAATAAATCTATCACTAAATGACTGACTCATTCTTGTACAGGCATGCATTTTATTGAATAACAGAGCACTTTACTAATTAATCTATGCTCAGTTGTCAATGTGCATTTTAATGAACAAAAAAAATGTTCATTCTTGTGTCTATATATATATATACATATATAATTCTTGAATAAGTACAAATTTCCCAAAATTTACCAAAATTTGAATTTTCCTAGGGATAATTTCAGAAACCCCCCTGAGGTTTCATGAAATATCACCTAGCTCCCTTGAGGTTTTCAAAATCTCACTTAGCACCCCTCGAATTGACATTTTGGTAACATTGTCACCCTTCTAACCAAAAGTAATATTAAAAAATTCATGTTTGAGGAGAGAGATTATTTTAGTGCCT